GGCTTCGGGACGGGAGACCGGCGGAGCCCAGCTCTGGGCCCGAGGGGCGCTCCGCAGACCAGCTCCTGGAAACGCCCACCCGCGGCTCGCCAACAGCCCCCCTGCCCCTCAAAAAGGCCTTTGCCCGGGCACAGCCCCCGCCCCCAAATGTGTCCTCTCTACCCAGCTTTTTGAGGGAGGATTCCATCCCTGTGACAACGCCCCTCTACAAAGCATTGCAGATGTGTAGATTTTTTTTGGGGGGGGTGGGGATTGGCCGAGAGTTCAGGTCGTGGCCTGATGACACCTCTCTGGGTTCCATCCATCATACCTGCCCGCCCCCTTAGACCACACCTGGGTCTTGGCCGCTCCACCCATCCCACCCCAACCTCGGCCAGGAGAGTGTGCAGTAGGGGTGCTGGACTCTACCACAGTGTATGAATGACCTTGGGGGAGTCACTTCACATCAAGCCTGGGTCTGGATAAGCCTGTTGTGATGAGTGTCACCCCCAGACTCCCAGTAGGCCCCACATGGAAGAGAAAGAACCCCCCCCAGCAGAGGGCACAGACAGGCCCAAGAGGGGGCATATCACACCCAGGGTCACACAGCCTCATGTCCCAGATTTATCCAGAAAGACAAACCCTTGTCCCAGTGACCTAAGACCTATTTGCCAGGCCTACAGGCCAAAAAGCTGCCTATTCCAGGGCTAGCAAAGCAGGGGATGGGGGTGGGTGTGTAGGCAGTGGTATCAGGCTTGCCTAGTGGAGGATGTGAGGAGGGAGAAGCCCCCCCCCTCTTTTTATGCAAGTTCCCACTATGCATCAAAGATCCTGGGGCTCACTGCCCCACCCCTCCACCCCACCCCACAGATGCTCCCACCCCTTGTTTCATAGAAGGGGAGCCGGACAGGAGCCTGTTGGATTTGAACTCCACCCAAGGAGAGACCCTCTGACCTTCTGCCCAATGGGTTTAGTCAGCCCCTTGCCATCTCTAGCCTGATTCCTAGGCCGTCTGGCAGCTCCCTGGGCCCATACTTCAGCAGCTCCCAGCCCAGCCCGTAGGAGCTCCTGGCCTGCCTGGAGTTGACCCCCGGCCCACTGACCCCAGCCCTGGCCCCAGCAGGAGGGCATTGCTCAACCTTCCTCAGTATCTGCTGAGCCTGGGGTGACCTCCGCCCCCGAGAACTGGAGAAATGACATCTCCCAGCGCCCTTGGGGGTGGGTTGGGGGCCAGGATAGGATAAAGCACTGACTTGGCCTGGCCGGCCTACTTTGGGGGCCTTCCCTGCAGCCTCTGGGCCCAAGGGGTGCAGAAACTTCCCCACCCAACCAGGCCACCCAGCTGCAAAGTCGGACTTAGAGGGGCCACCGCTTCTGAGAGGCCCTCCCTGTTCAGACCCTAGGGAGCGCCCACCCCAGCCCATGTCCCCAGGTCCTGGCTGTGTGTGCGCTTGGCAGCCTGGAGCCCTAAGCTCCGTGCTGAGGATTTATCAACCAGTGGGAAAAAAGACAAGGCTTCTGTACCCGTCAAGAGTTACAGTGTCAGAAACACACAGGGACAGTTCCACCCAGTCCTTAGGGTCCTACAAGTCGTAATTGGCTTGATGGCACTGAGTTTGGCTTCTTAGATTTGGGAAACAAAGGCGTGTTTGCCCTGAGACCAAGAACATTGTTCCCCCAGCTCTGCCCTCAAGCAGCTCCTCCTTCTCAACCCTCAGGTCTCAGCCCAGGTGTTACCTAAGAAGCCCTCCCTGACCACACATACACACCCCTGTCCCGCAACCCCTGACTGATCTCTCCATGCTTAAGAAGCCCTCCCTGAACACACACACACACCCCTGTCCCGCAACCCCTGACTGATCTCTCCATGCTTAAGAAGCCCTCCCTGAACACACACACACACACACCACCCTGTCCCGCAACCCCTGACTGATCTCTCCATGCTTTGTCTGCTTTCGAAATGATCTTACCTCTCCTTGCTCCCTGTGCCCACAGCAGCCCCTCCAGGGCAGGGAATTTTTGTCTGTTTTCCTGGCTGTTGTCCCCTGGTGGTGTAGTGGGTTACACGTTTGGGCTGCTAACCCCAAGGTCAGGAGTTCAAATCCACCAGCTGCTCCTCGGGGAAAAGGTGAGGCTTTCTATTCCCCTAACAGTGACAGCCTCAGAAGCCCACGGGCCAGTTTCCGTCTGCCCTATTATTAGCATCCCTTGGAATAGAAATCAGCTCAGTGGCTGGGCGGCAGGGAGTTGGGTAGGTGGGTGGGTGGGTCTGTAAGTCGTCCCCAGTGGCCGGTCCCACAGTGCCCCATGAACAGGGAGTGAGGGAGTGAATGAGGTTCCCCATTCCCTGGGCTGCAGCACCTCTGGCAGGATAGCTGCCCTCCCTGAATCTCACTCCTCACCCCAACCACTTAGAGGGCCTGCAGTGACTGGGAAACCTGGCTTTGTGTTCTCCGGTGACTCTCCTACCTTCCCTGAACCACATATAACCCTGTCATCTTCTCCACTTGACGCATGAGAAAACTCAGGCCCAGTGATCCAGAGTCAAAAGCAGGGAAAGAGGGAAAGTCAGAAGTTGCCACAAGTCCGTGGATAGGGATAGGGACAGGGGGGGAGTGGGGGGACATGGGATCTGAGACTCAAAAAGGAGTAGCCATCGACAGTGAGAAGGGGAACCTAGATGTTGGGGATCAGCCCCCAGGGCCAGACTCAGTCCCATCCAGGGTCTTGGCCCTCTGACCTCCAAGATTATCTCACCCCCACCCCCACCCTACTCCCAGGCCACTGACCCCACACAAGGCCCAGGGACCCTGGCCGGTTCCCGCTGGGCCAGTGAGAACTGCCAGTAGCAGCCTCATTGGGTGCCAACCCAGGTGTCCTGCAGGGAGGCTGCATGCACAGGTGACGTCAGCCCTTGTTTTTACAAGGCTGTTGCTCAATATACCCTGCCTCTGCCCGCCACTAACTCTACCTTCCCCCAAGGAAGGGGGTGCGGGCCTCCCAGCCACCATGGCCCGGAGGCCCAGGAGACACCAGAGTGGCTGTGTGGTGTCTGCCACTCCAGGCCTGCAGGCCGAGCAGACACAGGAGACTGAGACCCAGATGGAGTGGCCCTTCCCAGTGGCCCCTGCATGTGATAGGGTGGGGTGGGGTGGGAGTGGAGGGAACCCGAGCCAGGAAGGGTCCAAAGGCAGCCAGGGCCAACCCTGCTCTGGGGAAGGGGGCGCACAGAGGCATTACGGGGTTTTGTTGAAAGGCTGTGGGGCAGGGGGTTGCTTTTTATTTTTTTAAGTGGATTTATTGCCAATACTTAATCCCCACGAGACTTCACGTTAAAATTCGGAATCTCCAGATTCTCCTTTTTCAGACCAGACGCTCTGGGCTGGGCCCACATGCCCACACAGAGATGGGCAGAGCGAGCCACAGACAGCTTCTCAGAATCCCATGCCCGCTTCTGCACAGCCTGCCCACGGGGCCTAGGAGAAGCAGGCCAGTGGAAAAGAGGAAGCCCCTTGGAGAGGTGGGGTGACCGGGAGCTCAAAGATAAACAGCTTCTGTGAGGAGGACACCCAGCTTTCGCTGGATGGTGCGGGGGCGCTGGGTCTGGGAAGCCCCTCACAACTGCTACAGTAACCGTGTCAGCAGAAGGCCAAGTCAGCCGGCAGGTGGGCCAATAAGGTGGAAGTGTAGACCACCAAGCCATGCATGAGGTTCCATCTGTAGTAGAGGATGCAGGGGGAGGGGGCGGGGGATGAGATTGTCAGCCTGCTCTGAGAGCCATATTGCACAATTGGAGCCACATCGGGGTCCCCTGCAGGCCCCAGTTCCGGAGCTGTAAAAAAATGAAGAAAACAATAGCACCTCTCTTGGGGCTTCTGGGCCTACTGTGCCCCACACATGAGGCAGGTCCAACCTGCTTCTAGACATGAAAACCTCACAGAGCAGACAAATGCGGGGGAACTGAGGCCCAGAGACCTCCCCAAGACCACAGGGAGCCGAAAACAGACTTAAAAGCCAGAGCCCGAGATGCTGGTATCCAGGGTTGTCCCCAGCCGCATCTCCTTTCGGAGGCCTCAGTTGTCCCCGGCTCCAAACGGGATTTACGGGGCTTCCAGGCCTGGATTCGGGGTTCCAGAATTGGTGAATCCTCGGGCTTCTCCAAGAGCCCTGGTGGCGCCATGGTTAAGCACCCGGCCAGCCAAAACGTTGGCGGTTCAAACCAAGGGCCTCTTCTGGAGAAAGGCGCTGGCGATCTGTCCCGGAAAGACGGCTGCCTAGGAATCCCAGTGGGGCGCCTCTACTCACGCCCACCTGGTCAGGTGGCTTCCAGTGCACGCTCCGGGAAACTTGCCTGTGCGTATACCGCCACCTTGTGTCAGCCGCTGGAACTCCAGGGGCGTTTTGTTTTGTTTTGTTTTTATTTCCCTGAGGGCAATTTAAATGAAACCTCTTTTGGAGGTGTCCTCGTGGTGTGGTGGGTTAAGGGTTGGACTGCTCACCACAAGATCAGCGGCTCAAACCCTCCAGCCACTTGTCCGAAGGCAGACGAGGCTATGTGCTCTGGAAGCGATTTCCCACAGTCTCAGAAATAAACCCCCAGGTGCAGTGGGGTCTGACCGGTGGGGTCGCTAGAAATCAGAATTGATCCTATGCAAGCGTGGGTGGGGTGACACCGACCGTTTGCCCCTCCGTGGTGTCTCAGAAGGCAGCCCTGGGAATCTGATTGCAAATATCACTCCAAGAAAGGCCAGGGCGCACTTAGTTCTCTGCTGTGATGAGCGGGGCCACAATGGAAACCAAACGCACTGCCACCAGCCAATGCCGACTCCTAGCAACCCCACGGGGCAGAGGAGAAGACCACAGCCCTTGGCAGAAGTAAAGGCAGACTGGTCCTTCTCTCAGTGAGCCACAGGTGGGTGCATGGCTCACGGCACACAGACTGGTGGCGCGTAGCCCACTACACCACCAGAGGTCCTGTGGGCTGCCACAAGTCCATGTCCACTCAGAAGTCGTGGGTTTGGCTGCCTGGGCCTTGACTGAGGACCTCTTGGATTCAGCAGAAACTGGGGGTCGGGGAGGGCAAGCCAGCAGTGGTGGCAGGGACGGGGAGATGTGCAAGGAGGCACAAAGACCCTGGGTGGCATAGTTGTTGTGGGTGGAATAAGGGAGCAAAGCAGGGAATGATGCCCAAGCAATAGCCGGGGGCCACTTGAAGATGGGCTTTTATTCTGGGTGAACAGAGCCTTGGAGGGTCCGGAAGAAAGGAAGAGGACCGGACTTTGCTTTTAGAAGGATCACTCTGGCTGTGTGCAGAGAATGGCCTGGAGGGGAGATGAGGGCAGAGCAGAAAGGCATGGGAGAAGGTGCCTACACCAGTC